TATATATATATATATATATATANATATATATATATATATATATATATATATATATATATATATATATATATATATATATATATATATATATATATATATATATATATATTATATATATATATATATATATATGTATATATATATATATATTGCACGGGCGTTTCCAGCTTGCGTTGATTCACAATATATGTGTTGAATTTCTGGACAACCGCCATCCTCCCTTGCCCGCTGATCATGCCCAGGCTACCTGAATATCGCCGAATATATCTGCCGCAGATTGGGCCTTATCATCAAAGATATAGAAGAGTTCAGGTATGGACTACATTTTGCAGTACATAGTAGTTCACAATTACCGCACAGCCATTGGCTGAAATGCAGTGTATGGTGTCTATTGAATATCTCGTAAAGTCATGCATCTATCCGGTTTGAAAAGTTTACTGAGCACGAAAACGTCTACGCGTTTCCTCGGATTCCTGGACTTCTCGACATGGGAGATTCAGTATGGAAATTTGTATAATATAGTATTGCGCGCGATCCGTCCTCGTCAATACGTTTGCATTATCTACACTTGGTGTATTTGAGTATACCTTGTACAGTACACATGAACGTTTTAGTGACTGACAGCACGAGTGGTGTTCCATTACCGTAAATTGGGTTGTTTGTGTATCTTTGTCAGTAGCACACAGTCATTTAAGAGCTGATAAACGCGACACAAAGCACTGGCTTATAGAGCAAGATAGGAATATTCCAATCAAAGCGACGCATCTTCAACAAGTTACTCGCAATAGCAAGGCTAGGGCTCAAGAGCTTAGAGCTGCAGGCAGTCACTCGCCAAACCACGCATGTACTGTGCACGGCATCGATGTATAAATTTACACCGTCATCCATCACGTCATACCCTGTTACGCAGTCACCACACACGCATCACTTGAGCCGTGTATTTTTATACTGCCTATCCCGTCTCACATCGGGTCATCTGAAACGCACTTTGGGTTTATTGGATTATCCTCCGTAGCGACGATTATGAACAACTGACCGGACTTATGCTCGGGATGTTCATCATCACAATCAATGTGCTCGAGCGAATGGCCGTCAGTGTACTCAGTGACGAGGTAGAGTGCGTCCCAGACCGCGATACACTCGGTGGGTGTGTGGTCTTTGTGCTCTAGTTTCTTTGTGTATGTGTAGTGTAGTGTGTACGAAGGAGGTATCCTCAGATGAGAGTACTCTTCAGTTTCCCTCATAAAATGTTAATAGTCACTGCAGCCTTTCTTCAGGCACGCCCACGCCATAGCCCGTTTAGAGCGGTCTTGACTGGTAGGTATTTCTTTTAGGATCACCAATGGCAGATTCCTGTATGATACACAATAGTAAACCCGTATAATCCCAACCGGCAAGTTCAATTGAAAGTCATTCCGAAAAATAACACAGCGCGAATAATCGCAGATCTGTGCAACCCTAAACGGCAAGTTATAATAAATTGGCGTTCCGTTCAATCAACAAATCGCTGCAGATACCTTCACCCTCACCAAACATAAGGCTGTGGAGCGCATAGACGAGGCACAGCAGGTGACTGTGAGTCTCTACGCCAAAATACGCAATTCGAAGTCATACACCCGCCCGAATCTGGAAGGTATGGTTTGGCGAGATGTGCGATGTGAGTTGTGCTTCTGCCTGGTGTGTGGATATTCCAAAGCGTTTGGGTATCGGTTTGTACTGGCTGGATACCGCTTGGTTGCCACTTTGTCTCTGATGGTTACCTCTGGTTCTTTAGTTTAAAAAAGAATTTTTGTTTCATTCAATCCGAGACGGGTAATTCAGGGGCCAGAGTTTATTTTGGCACATTCGTTGCACCCAAACATGTATACGTACGGTGAGTATTAGTACACGGCGAGGAAAGGATAATTTATAGAAGAGAATAAGTGCTCTTAGTTGGGCTTTCTCTCCTTACTCTCCACTCTAACATGGCCAATGGACACGTATGCTTGCCCGCTTGTACACAGGTATGCGTATGTGTATATACTCTATCGCGGCATAGCTATACACACATACACACACACACACACACAGACGTTTGCATATATATATGGTATATATATATATTTA